TGGTCCAGCAGCTGCCCCCACCTGCATCTAAGAGGGTCAGGTCCACCAGGACTTGCCCAAGACATCCAAGTGTGGATTTTTCAAGAGAAAACAAATTTTATTTTTGGTGGTTTTTTCCGTTTTCCTCAGCACTTAAAACCTTATGAGCGTTGGCGTCTTTTTACATTTTACAAGGAACCCAGCTTGAAGTCTTGCTTAGAAAGGCTGAGCGCAATGTGGATTTTATTATTGTTAGTCAGGAGTTTCGATTAGTAATTTCAATTTAGAAGTGGAGAAGCAAAAGTTAGTCCTTGACTATTTAAAAAAAAAAAAAAGAGCAAGCTCACTAAGTTTAAATGCTGGTTGTCCTGGTAGGGGGACATACAAGTTTATAAGATTAATGAAATCTTTTATTTAAACCAACGAGTGTGCACGTGTCGGCGTTTAAACAAACAGCTTCGAGTGCTGTTTGTCCGTAACTGAAAGATCTGAGCACTCTCTTTTCTGGTCCTGGGGGGGAAAAATCCCAAACCTCAACTTTTTCTTAGCAGGTGTAGAACTGCCACGTTATGTGGCTGCTGTGGCTGAGGGACTTGTCTTCTTGCTTTTATTGAGAGGATCCTACCGAGGGAGCGGTGCTGCGATCCCAGCTCGGTGTTTAAAAACTGTCGGAGTGGCTGCAGGAGTTGACTCGGTGGCGCTCAAGCAGCCCCAGCTTGGGGTGTCTGAGGTACGGGCGGCCGCGGGTACAGAGAGGAGGAGGGCACAGCCAGGGCTCCCGGTGGGATTTACGCTTTATTCCAGAATTAAAAGTCATTTTTTTGGCTTCACTTGGGCAGAGCCAGAGTTCAAAAGCTGCAGGTGATGGGAGGGACGCGGGACGCTCGAGGTGATGCTTCGGCAGTGGGGCAGACGGAGCTCGGGCTCTGCTTCTAGGCTTAACTCAGCCGGTTTTTTTCCTCCTATTTTAGTTCTACATGTTGAAGTTCTTTCAACAGGCTGTTGGTTTGCAGTTACATTCACGTTTGATAGAAATTTCACTTGAGTTACCGGGTTTTGGCTCTCTCTGCCTGGGATAGCTGCTCTTGCCAGGGTACTTTTTGGGTCGGCTTTGTTTGCTCTCTGATCCTTTCCCCACGACTTATTTTTAGTAGCGCTTAGCAAATGATTAAAAATCACTGCACGGCGTTTGACTTGAGAGATCCTTCCAGTTTCTTCTGGAAATTTGTGGGCTATATCTTCGATGCTCAGCTGGCAGGAGATTAGCCGGTCGGTATTTTAGCAGTTAAGCTGAAATGCTTGAGCAAGAGGATGAAACCGCGGTGTGATACAGCGGAGTCCTGAAAGCTTAACCGGGTCTCGCTTGCTGCTAATTGTAATTGCAATTCAAAGGCTTAAAGCAATGTTTACCTGAGAGAAAGATGGGGAAAAATAAAAATCCGCTTTTTGCAGGATCCTTCATTCCAAGTTGCAGTTTCTAGCTGTGTGCTCATAGTTTTTGTATTCTTTTTTCCTGCTCAGAACAGCATTGACAGCCGGAGCTGTGTGTGTTCCAGGAGCATATGTACTAAGTGAGCAGAAAATTGGACTTCTCAGCCTGATTTTTTATTTTTTGTCTTTTAAAAACCTTGCTAAAAGCTGACTGTAATAACCGTAGGTGCCGCAAGCTTTCATTGATGGGGAAAACAATCTGCAATTTTGCTGGGCTAAAAAACAGTTTTACCTGTGTGCTCCCCTGCGCCGCCCTGACCAGCTTTTGAGAATTCACCGCTTCATCCTCATCAAATATCTCCCAAGAGAGAGGGGTGTAACTGCTCCTGTGGGTTGAGGAACACAGACCAAAACTACAAGCTCCAAACTTCTGATTCTTTCTCCCAGCTGGGCTCCAAGTCTATACTGGCCCACAGGGATGTGCTTTGACTTCCTTGTACTCTCCCCAGGTGAAAATATTCAACGCCCCTTCACTTCAGGTAGAGTAATTGGTATTAAAAACTGACAAATTGCTGTCACAGCGTAGTGATGCCCAGTGCACCTAAATGACAGTAAAGGTGACCGTCTCGTGAATTGGGTGTCGCAAACGATGCAGGTGGGAGAGCAGCTGGACGGAGGAGAAAGGTTGAGGGTCTGCCGCACGTTTTTCCTTTCGCTTGGAATTTAAAAAATAAAAATAAACGAAACAGAAAAAAAAAACCAACCAAAATTTCACCTCTTAGGAGGTTCCGTCTACTGGAATTGCTTGGGATAAGGACACACTCCTGTAGCTTTTTCTGACACCTGAACAGAAGATGATGCAGGGTCGTGTTATCTGAAGTAAATTGCGTTGACGTTTTTAGCGAGTGTCATTTTATGCCACATGCGAAGTAGTAATAGTAGACATTGAAAAGCAGATTTACTTTGCAGTGGTGTGGTATCACAGCAGGGTCAAATTGCTGTAGTTAAGGCTGTGTCAGCAATTGTGGCGCTCTGTGGTGTGAAGCTGTGCTTCGGAAGGCTTTTGATCTGTGTTTTTCGATGATCTGGTGCAGTATTATACATATTTAACAGGTGGGTCAGTATTACTTCCATTGACGAGTGATGTGAGGTGTGATTTTTAGTGATTTTTTTAAATGCAAGCAATCTTAAGGTTTGTGGGAGCTTGCTTGTTTGTCTTACAAGAAACTTCCAATTATTTTTTTTTAACTTTTTCCTTTTTCCATCAGAGTAATATTTCATTTTAGGGTGACTTGCATTTCACGTATTCCAGTTTGGGGGTGTCAGCCCAGTGGTGCCGGGCAGCGAGGCGCTGCTGGAGGGGGCTGGGTTTTGTCTGGCGTGTGAAACGGGTGCCCCAGTGCCCCCCAAACTACTTCTGGGAAGAACCAGTTCAGCGCCGCGCTCTGATTGAATTCAGATATTCCACTGTTTTTCCAGCTTCAAATGTCTGTGCATTTATTGTCTTGAAAGTGCTGGCACTTCACCTTGTAAGTAATGGCTTTTAGGGTGAGAATCTCATTATAAACGTTTGCACTTGCCTCCGTTTTTGGAATGGAGGGGAAGAAAGTTGCCTTTTGAATGGTTTTATAATGGCTGTGATTGTTTCAGCTGTTATAAATCAATCACGCTTGTTTCTCCCGTGGAACTATGGCGCTCGCATGCGAAAGCTGCCGCCTTCTTCGCGGGGTTTGGAGTCCTCCTTGAGTATTTATCAAGACACGAACCCTCCCGCAGCAAAGCTGTGGCTCCTGGTACCACCTGGGCTGGGAGAGGCAGCGAGAAAGCTTGGAAATGCGGTAACCTGAAAGAGGAGCCCGGCGTTTTTGTGTCAGGGTTCGTTCTTCTGGATTATTTAGAACGCCAGCCCTCACTAAAATTCCTCTCCTTGGCTTGCTAAGACCCGAATTTGGGGTTATATGAGGCTGAAAAGAAGCTCCTGGCTGCAGCACCCTCGGCTACTGCCCCGGGGAGCTCCGGAGCCTTGACCTGGGCTTGGCAGGGAACTGAAGGAGACGCGATTTTAGTCGCTGGTAGGCTCTGAACTCCCCTAAACATCACTCTGCTGCTTTTTTGTCCTCTTCCTCTGACCTGCTGGGATAATGGTTGGTTGGTTTTTAAACGGGTGGTTAACTCTCGGCGGGTTAGGAATCGGCAGCTCGAGTTTTGCTTCAGTGCTGCCGCGAATTTGCTCGGCGACCGTAAGCGAGTCACCAGCTCGTCCCTGAGCACCAGCCGGACCCAAAGATGTAAAAACCCCACGCTCAGTCGGTTGGGATCTCTGGCCCACAGGGCTGGGGCAGCCTGGCCTGGGCACTGATGCGATGGCTTTAACCTTCCAGGCAAGCAAGAAGTCTGCAAAGCTCTTCTCTCTGTATTATGTTCCCTTTTGGTAATAGGAAACTGAAGCCATGATGTTGATTTTAATGTGGAAATCAAGCATTATATATTTTTTCAATTTGTATCTTCTTGCGCTTGATCTGCCCGTGAGTTGCAAGTCTTGAGCAAGGCTGGCACAGCAGATGGTTTCAGACACAAGACTTTGCCCGGCCCTGGAGGCTGTGCTGCAC